ATCACTCTTGTTTTGCTTGACAGTCTGGCAAAAGTGAGATGGGTTTTATGATTTATAGTAGAAATGTACCTGCACAGCAGTCAGCAGAGACTTGACAGTGTTGGAGATAGGTTCCAAGAATGGAGTCTTGAAGCTCTTAGCAAGGACCTCAAGGGTATCTACTGCTATAGTGAAACATTTTAGAATGTTGTTTAATCGGATTTCAGTCGCGATAGGCTGAGGAGGCATTTGGTCTGATGGGCAAGAATTTGGACTGTGCTGGTGAGAGTGTTCTTTTTATCCTTGATGTACGTGGGAGGCTGAACATCTCATCATGTGATCATCACCCTGGTGCTGCACTGCTGATTGGAACCCTATGCATATGCATCGCTATTCATTGATCATGTCACCATGAGTGCGGGTAACCTTGACGATGTCACGTGTATCTTCATAGAAGGTATACTTAGGCTATAGATATGTTCTTTGTTCATCTGCAAAAGAGCGATGCCAGGGCACCTCAAGGGAGATCATCCCGCTTGTAAGCTGTGAGCTTGGGAAAAATACAATTGACTAGTGATGGTAACAGCCATTCCCCAATTTCCATCAGAGACCCATACAGAGTGAGTCGTGGACACATCATATCAAACTACCGGAGCAAGTATCAGTCAATGTATTTGACCCTGTTGATCATCAGGTCAGTGAGCTCTGTGTGATATTTCCCTGTGCACAGTGCACACATTCCAATGGAAGCAGAAGGAAAGACCTGACAAATTTCAACTTGATGCCAGGAGAAAGTCCCGAGTGTCTTCTATCAATCACCTACCAAGTGATGAATAAGGCTCTACACTTCTCACCTGGATTGCGGCAAAAGAAGTTGGGAGGGACACCAAGTGCTTGGAAATCCGACACTTGAAGGAATTACTGAAGCAGGCTGTATGTCCCGGAATTTGACCGTGGCTTTCTCATCATGACGGAATTTATGCGATAAAAAGCTGGCCAACGCCGCTTCTGCTAGGGTTCGGCAGGATTCAAAACCACTTCTCTTTCGTGTCGGTTACGTGTCCAAAGAATGAGAGGGATGTACATGATCTACGCAGCTTGTCCTCAGGGTGGAGGTGGTTGAATAAGTGCAGACCTAGATTTAGACCCGGCGCAAAATCATTGCCACCAGTGCAGACGCAACGGTGTGACCGACTCACGTGCACGTGACAGGACGCGACTTCACCTACCTCAAGCCCAGGGTCACCGTCCATGCCGATCCCAAGCTCGAGAGGATGGGTAGCGGGAGTCCCAACGACATCCTTGGATAGTCCCTGAGTCGGATCCCGCATTCAATATTAATGGGGCGGTTGAAGCCAATTGTTTTAAATTGACGAAACACGAGTGTCAAATAGATACATCTGGACACCGTCGGCTCTCGAGCAAGTACGTCCTGACACGCCCGGTGAAATTAAGGACCCGACGGGCACCCATGTGGATCGTCCGCCACCCATGAGCACCGTGCGCCCGTGGATACGCGATCCACGGGCGGTACGAGACGAAGTTCGCAAGGGCTAGGGGAGGACGTAGCGCCCACAGCAGAGGCGAGAACGCTTCACGCGAGCCGCCATCCCCGCGCTACAAACACACGGGCGCTGCATTCAGCACCACCCCCGCCGCAGAAGAGAGCAATCACGTACGGCGCCGCCGAGTCCCCGCACCTGGCCGCCAACGCAGATCGACGGCGCCCAACTAGCAGGGTAGGGGGCACTCTACGCCCGCGCGCTGCCACCGGCCCAGCCCGCAACGAGGGACACAGGAAGAAAGAACGACGAAATAGAAATAGACTCAGAGTACCTCTGCACTCCCCCGCATAAGGAGCGCAGGGTCTGCAAAACGGGTGCGTCAGTATGTGCAGGCCTTGAAAGAAGGGAGGGGAAGGAGACGTACCGTCGCTGCGAATCCCCTCCGCTCGCCCACCCGCCATCGACTCCACTTCCAAGCGCTCATGCTCCCGCCACCGCTCCCATCCCGCCGTCGCGCGCCGGCCGCAGGGATACAGCGCAGCGCCGCCCCTTCCCTCCCCACCGACGCCGACACGCCCTTCCCGTGCGGGCGCGGTACGGCCCCGACCAACACGAAGTGAAGGGCGGCCCATTCTCAACGGCGGGCGGCGCGGGGCCTGGACGACCTGGAGCGCGCGCGACGCGGGCTTGCAGTGCCTTAGCGCACCGCAGACGACGAGCGCGGCGCACGTCGTCTTCCCGCTGCTGGCAAGCGCGTACTAGTAGGACGACGATCGTGCTTCGGACGACCGCGACGAGCGGTGGGCATGGTGGGGGCGGGGCGAAGTTGGACGGAGTTGCGGGGAGAATGGTGTTCGCGCTGGCGCTGGCGGGAGGGTGATGCTCCGTGCGCGGAGTGCTGCATGTCGCGCGGGACTTGTGCCTCGGCGCGCTGGGTACGCAGAGGATCGGCGAGTTGGCGGCGGGGGGCAGGGCTGCCGTTGTGGGCCGCCGGGCTGAGCGGGTGTGGGGTGCTCGCGGTGGGGTCGTATCAGCGCTGGGGGCGTCGAAAGTCGGTGCTGATGCTGGAAGGCGGTAGGCGGCGCGGGGATACGTGGCAGGGACGATGCTCGGTGGGGTGGGGGCGTGGATCATCTGGAGGATCAGGAGTGGCGTGGATGAGTCCCTTTGCACGCGCCGGCGTCAGGGACTGCGCGGAGGGGGCGGTGAGGAGGGAGCACTGGTTAGTGGCCTTGCGAGCTGCCAGCGGTATCAAATGGGCCCAGTCGAGCGCAGCTTGCACGCAGAGGTAGCGCAGTCGGGCTGGTTGTATCTCCCCCACCCTAAGGCGGGACGTCAGCCAAAAACAAAAGATGGGCGGCATGGGGCGCGTACGAGCGTGGACGACGGGGTGGCGTGCGTCGCCGAGGAGATCTACTATCTAGAGCCGGACAATAAGAATCGCAGTCCTCGGATCTGTATCAGCGCACAGTCCCAGCAAAGCGAGAGGGACGCTCTCATCACTCCTCGTCCTCGTTACTCGCGTCGTGTCGAGCCACGTCTCAAAGGGACATCCGAGTCGAGCGTAGTCATTTGGTTTCCCGAGCCGCGTCATAAGGCGGGGAGGACTTGCAGAAGATGAGTAGACAATGGGCGGCGCTTCAGTTGCCCAAGGGATGGCAGCCGATTGATCCGAACTAAACGATCCGACTGATCCGAAATCCTGTCTCCAACCTTTTCTGAGGCCTTCTCCCTACTGCCCGTCCCTTCTCGAGTCGATTTCTCCAAGGGTCCACCTCCCCTCTCAAGGCTTCGTGGATCAAGGTAGATCACATTCATCTTATGAACATTGGGCAATGTCAAATGAGAGAAACGCGGGTTCGACTCCCGCCGAAGCTGTGACGGACGACATGTACAACACTTTTCAGGGCTTCAACTTATCGGTTTTGCATACAGCCAATATTCCCGGACCCGATATTCCGAATTACTTCCTCCATTGATCTAAGTGTCTGACCTCAACACACTCTCTCCCTTGGTTCTCCATCTCCTTCTCGTGCCTTAAAATCCACCGTTGGACGGCTTTCTGGCTGAACCCTCTTTACAGTTGACTCCAACGCCGCTCAAGATCAAACAGGTTTCTTGTACGTGGCCGTCCCCGGGTTCAAATTTCCTCAAGCGCAGATCCCTCCTCCGGAGGCTTCGTAGATCAACATAGATCGCCCTCGTCCTGTAGTGTCCACCAAAAATGTACCAGAGAGAGAGAAGCAGGTTTGACTCCCGCCGAAGCCATCCCGCGTGTGCTATGTTCATTTTTATCGCCCATTCCTCATGAACTCCCCTCAGCACGGCGTAAATCAGCCCGGCTTATCGCCTCCCCACGGCACCTTCGAACACCTTATCCCAATTTCTTGGCCTGAATTCAGGTGTGGATTCACTATTTCTTGCAGAGTGAACGCTCTATCATCCAGGCCCTCTGCCACTCGAGCGAGTACTAGGGGAAAATAATAAATAATCCACCTCCGGGGCCTAAATCTAGGTGTGGATTCCTTCAACCCCTCACTCTGCTACTCATCAAGGCGTCGTAGATCAATTACAATCCAGGTGAGAAACCGCACAGTTTTATTCAACGCCCCCCTCGGTGCTCAAGGCTCCATACTGTATATCGCTCTTTGCAACCGTCTCCTGGATCTCTTCCGTTTCACTGATTGCTATTTGGGCCATCCACTTCACACACAGCGTGGTGTATCTGTGAGATTCACACCCAAACACCGTCGCCTCCTCTCGAATGGGTCCGGACACTCTTCAAACCCCAGACCGCTGTACTATGGCCCGGGCCCCGGATTCTAGGTCCAGGTAACGATGATGTATTCAACCCTCACTCTGGCATTCAGGTCCTCAATCAAGGCTTCGTGAATCAATGCAAAATCGCTCTCCCATTACGCTGTTTTGTTCACCAAGATGTGCACCCAAACCGGGCCCTCTCTCGAGTTAATGCGGACACCTCTTAAAACGATCATCCATCCATCCACATTCTTGCCGATGCCTGATTCTAGGTATGTACTTATTCACCCACTTCCATCCTCAAAGGAAGGTTTCGTGGATCAGCACAGATCCTTCTCTTTCCTTTCAGCGTTTCCTCGGCATATACGAGAGAGAGAAGCGGGCTCAACTCCCGCCGAGGCCATGGTGCAGCAAAGTCCTGCCTTTTCTCCGCGTCTCACATCCGACATTTCTAGCATCCATAATCCTGCTCCTCCTCGACAATCTGCATGCTTGATGGCCTAACTTAAATGTGGGTGTGGATTTATTCGATGCTTGCCACTGAAGCCGTGGGCCGTTTCCTCACTCATCCTTTGGCTCCGATGATCTCTTTGTTGCTACGTGGACTTCGCCGACATAAGGCTCTGTACCGTCGAGTCGAGAGGTGCAACCAAACACTCTCACACTCTCCCGCTGGAACTGGTGCGGATACTCTTCAAACCCTCAAGAAGCTGCGGCCTGTGTTGAGGTGGGGATTTATTCAACCCGATTTTTTGAGGCTTCGTAGATCAGTGTTGACCACTCTCTTCATCTGTGTTTTCGAGTCGGGAGACATGCGGGTTCGACTCCCGCCGAAGCCCTCTTCGGGGTCTTTCCTTTTGGTGTCAACTTTCCTCACATCTTTTGAAGCAGGTTCTAATAGAGCCTAGATCTATAGAGGTGCAATCCGCTCGGAGATACAAATCAAACTCCCAGCAAAGCATCAGTCTAAGGGAAGTGAACAGTACAGTTTATTCAACGCCCCGGCTCGGTAGTCAAGGCTTTGTGGATCAATATCGACCAATACGCAGAGCACTCCCCGCCGAAGCCGTGTGCCTGAACGCTCCTGATTTCTTTTCATTACAGGGTCGACAAGCATTTCCTTCCGCATGCTGGACATACGACGAGCAGGCCTGGGTGCAACTGAGCCAAACGGCCGTAGACATGCCGCTCGATTGTCCTTTAGGCCCTCCTCGACACGTATAAGGTCTAGCGAGGGTCATAATAAGGGATTAGACTACCTTCATTCTCTTATGCATTTTTTCAACCCGTCAATTCCGCCTCTAAATCCATCATTAATCAATTTTTGTGAAGGGGATGTACGGCCCAAATTTATCAAGGTGCTGCCTGCGGTCCGTTCCGGCTCTTCAGATATCCACATTGGAGGGCAAGATAGGCTTTTGTGCAGTGCTTTTGGATTCGGCACGGACCGCCGAGTTCCCATCTCCGACCGGCTGTCACTTGCGGCATCTATGTAGTCTTTAAACTCCGCTCGGGAATCACCGACGGCAGCCAACGGGGCGAAGTGCCGCAGCGCGGAGCCCCCGGCGCGCTCTTGTCTACAGCGCCTCCGATCCGGAATGCAAGCAATGATTTGCAGGGATGTGGTAAAGAAAAGTTTTGATGCTCCACAAAGTGTCGGACAGTTCAAGTTGGTCAATCAAAGTGTCGCAAGAATCCGGAGCGGCGAATAAAAGTGTCGCGCTCATACTTCTGCGCACTAACTTGAATGATCTTGGAACTCATAAAAGTGTCGGAAAGAACCGAATTTTCACACAAAATATGGCAGAAAACTAGATCTGCTTCTTTCGGGTGTAGGAAGTCCTCCGAGACGCTTAGTTGGCGAGCTTTCCGAGTGAAATAAGCATTTCTAAGTAATTTTTTGAACCGGAAAAGGAACTCAACAACTGACCGCGGTGAAGCGTGACACTTGCCAAAGTTCACATTCGACAAGCACCCCGGTGACGGATGACTGTCGAATCGAACGAAAAAATACAGTACTTAGCCGTTACTCTCCAGTTGTCAGGATTATGCCCTGCTGCTCGCCCATTATTCTGAGTATACCGCTAGGGCCTCGGGCGTTTCCCGTTCTCATAAACTTTAGCCGGGGCTCAAAATTGTAATCCGAAACGAGATAAGAAGTAGTCCTCTCAAAGTCCTCTACTTACTTTGACACGAGAGAGCATCAGGTTCCTTTCGCCGACGATGGCTGGACGAATTTGATCGGAAATAGTGCCGGTGCTACCTTCTATACCCAAAGCGCCGGGACCTGCTACCACTACAGTCATTCCACGGTCCTTGCATCAATATTTTGTTTCCGCCCGTTTGAGGCTAATTATAGACGGAAATGGTAAAACTAAAGTCTAGGTACATACTCTGTATATGCCTCTTCGATATGTATCATACAGAATTTCGAGACTTGAAGCCGTTCTGCCGTGGTGAGGCAATCATTGTCATGCAAGGACCGCGGATCATTTCTTCACACAAAAATAAATAATGTTTTGCGCTCCCGCATGCTTTCAGTGCCGTGGCTGCTCAATTTGATACTATAGGAAGTGTTCTGCGTTTCATTAGGGGATATATTATCACTCAGATCATCTACCTGGCAAATTTTTGATGTTTTTTTCGGGCTGATGCAAGGACCGCGGAAAGTGCAAGGACCGTGGAATGACTGTAGCCAGTCCAGGTTCCGATGTAAAATCTTATTCAATACAGATCTACATCTCTGATCCGCATCGACAGGGCCACACATACGCATGTCGCCATGTCGCAGGGCCCGCTCTCTCTCTTTCAGTCTTCAACCGAACAGATTAACTATCACTTACTGATGTGCTCGTAATCTCATTATGCTTATCAAGGGTCCGAGAGAAAGAAGGGACTGAAAGGGACTTTGTACCTGTCTGTTCCCACACCGGGAGTAGGGGTAGATCACCGAGCACAGTGTGTAAATTACGCGTGAATAGTATATTACAGACAAGAGAGCAATATTATGTAGTACCAAGAAAGCGATAGCAAGAAGACCGACGGCGGGGGGGCGGGCGGGTAAGCATTCAAGGATGCCGTTCCACCCACAGCTTTCCCCGCCGCATCAGGCCCTCCCGCGGGGGGTGGAAAATCCGTCGAAGGAGGTGGCGGAGTAAGGGTCCCTTGTACGCCTCATCGCGCGGGAAAATCTTCCCCGTCCTCATCGTGTACTCGCTAAGTTCTTGTTCAGTTTTGAACCGGTGCACGGCTTCCCTTGTGGTATGGACGTCCACAAGATCGATTAGATTAACGTGTGCGTCCTCGATGACCTGAAATGAACAGGGTCCCTGGTGAGTCCCAATTACTGTACGACGGTTGGTCGCGCAACTCACACGTTCACATTCCTCGAGCGAGTCCGGAACGGGGAAGATCTCGACAGTCCGACAAAGCTTCTGCCAATTAGCGAGATCGTCGACGTCCTCGCCGTATTGCTGGCTGAACGTGAGCCCCAGCGCGCGGTTGTAGCCATGGTACGCCTCGTTCGCCGCCGGATCCGAGCGCTTCATTTTGTAGACGGTCCGCAGCTCCCGGAATTGCTGCGACGCTGGGCCGGATGGATCGTACTCGAATTTGGGATATGACGAGAAGAAGTTCGAGAGGTGGGTCGCTGGAGGCGACAGTTTGGGCTTTTTAAATTCGACTTCTTCTTCGTCGGAATCCTGGAAGCGAGTAAGCTGATATGCACTCACGAGCAATGGAACCACTTGCGCTGTCTGAGACGGAAAACTCTCTCTTCCGTTTGGAGACCACCGAATGTGTCGGCGGCGAGGATGAAAAGGAGACCGCTGTCGGGGACGGAGACTCCATTTTGACACAGATCCTGTTGTACAGCGTTAACCCGTCTGCGGTAAGAAATATTAAGGAGAAAGAACCTTGCCGGCGTGCTGAAAAATGCGAGATCAAGGAATGGACAAAGGGAGATTATGTGTAACATACCTGGGCAGTACAGTCGAGCATGCGCTGGATCCGGAGGCAGGAACGCGAGTGGGGATCGTTAAGTCCAGGTATTCCATTTCGCGTCGTCCAGTACCAGCACAGGGTGCCGTACTTGCCAGCGGTTTTGTCTTTGCAGAGGGGAGCGAAAACCTCAGGGGTGCCAGCTGTGTGGCGCTCCTGCATTGTGAAGGAACAAACTCCGGGTGCTCCATCTCATCCAAAGCCGCTGCTATTTCTTGGGAGCAAGGTTCCAGAAACAAGGAATCAAATTCGTCGTCGTCCGAGACGGTAGTAACCGCTGAATTGGGAGGGGGTGCACAGAAGCTTGCGGCCAATATTTTCAGCATTGAGACGATAAAATAATATCAAGCGCACGTACCTGGAGGGGAAAGCCTCCTCTGCACGCTCGAGCTCCGTGAGAAAGTCCGGCGAGAAATCATCCATGCCATACGCGTCGATCCCATCCTCAAGAGCTCCAGTCATGTCCAGAGAAGCAGTGCCACTGGGACAGTGAACCGACGTGTTCGGGACGTTTAGGAGGGCAGAGACGTGACGAGTTTATCGCTTGTGGCTCTCAAGAATTTCCAGCGGGATTGGCTTCGTAGGGAGGTAGAAACGACGCGATGAAGGAAGACCGTGGACGCGTTATGTTTGTTTGTGACAGCGTAGATGACCAACGTCGACCAAGTAACATCACGTGCAGTACATAACTCGACAAAAACGCTCATCTTCAACAAACTCGAGCTCCTTTGCAATGAATTGGGGCTCACTTCACTGGGCCAGCTACCGGACCGCTTCTCCTTTGATTTTCCTCCCTCAACTCCTTGTGTCCCCTAATGATAGAAACGTCACATTCATTGTCGATCCCTCCGACTTTTTGCAAAGGACCTCCCCTTGCCTTCATTCAGCTCCTCGCAAAAAATTGTTTACGGGCAAATATATCAGCTCGAATTACTTGGTTTTTGGCCTCATTATTGCTATCGGACGAGATTGACGCGGACGGACCTGGCCAATATACAGAATAAGCCTCTGGAGACGTCGCTTGAAACCTCGATGTCACGCAGCCTTTACTTCGACACTGGCGCCTTGCTCCCTTGATTCTCTTTTCTCCCTCGAAACCTAATCCGATCTGGATGCATTTATCGTGCACTGTGCCCCGCGGCGGCTAGAGCTATTGCGTTTCAGTATGGAAAGCGAGAGCACCACGCTCGTTTGATGACCGGTGATTGCCTCATCGAGGGGTCTGTCACGGTGAACCTCTGCGATTGGAATGCGGATGGCAGTCCCTTGTCTGACTCTGAATCGACGTCAAAAAAAAAACGGACGATCGGATGGTCGAGAAACACGTACGCAATGGTATCGTAGACTTCCCCCGTTCTGTCGACATACTTCTTGCTGAGGGGCAGGACATCGTCATCCATGGCCACCCGAATCGTAAAGCCTACAGGAGAATATACATGCATCGTCTCCCTGACCACCTGAAACCCCGGTAATGTCGGCGGTCGAACTTAAAAGCATAAGCGGGAACCTCACCTTCTCGAGGTACGGGAGGGAGTCCATTGTTGGATTATCATCAGGTATACCCAGGAGTTCCTCTCGAAGCTTTGCCTGAACCAACGGATTCATTGAGAGTGCATGCAAGGCCCATGCTGCCGCAGTACTTGAATCCAGGCTGGTTAGAATGAGATCCCGGATGAGTTCAGTGTGAACGCACCTCGTAGTCTCATGCCCAGCAACGAAAAATACTGGGACCTCTGAACTTGCTCTCAGGATGTAGTAATGATGGGCGGAACCGATGGACTCACGGGCAACGACTTCCGCATCGGTGAGCTTCTGGTTATCAGGGATCTCGTTGGACATG